AACTCAAAGAATAGCTCAAGTCTGGTCTGAATCCAAGTATCGCAAACATCCTAATAGTTGTCTGTATGATTTATCGAAATTTTGATAATTTTCTTCATTCACTGCCAGTTGCCACTTTTCGATCTCACAGAAAATTTTTCGAAAACAGAACTTAGATAATTTTGTTGACTGATAGTTAATAAGAACTTCTATTGATTTCCAATCTCAAAAAAGCTGTCAGATTCCCTACGTCTCCCATTTCAAAACGATTCAACAGTTTTCGTTTTATTTCTTGAACATCATTCAAAATATCAGGTGCAATAAAAAATTACGTTCCTTTTAGAATTCGAAGGTCAGGTTAGGTGGAATGTTATATCATTGCATTTGTTGCGGTTGTTTTTTGTTGGTTAGCTGTTCTCTCTATACATTTCATATTTCAAATGTCACTTGTGAAAAAAAATTGAGTCAGAAAAAAATCATTGTTCTGAATTTACACCATCATGTAATATCATCATAGAAAAAATTTCGGAAATCGGTATGAACCCCGTAATTTTTGGAAATATTTTAAATGTCAAAACCAATGCATTTCATATACAGAAAGCAGCTGGCATTTTTTTGTTCGGTTGTTCACTTCATCTCCATATTTGAAATGTCAGTGCTGAAAAAAAATGACGTCATTTTGATACTGTGATAGGCTATATATATCTCTAATCGAGTCCGACTAAAAAAAAAGTTCTGAATTCCAACCATCATGTAGTATCATTCCACAAAAAACTAGAAAATCCGTGAGTATCCCGTAAAGCAGAATTTTCCCTCGGTCCGCAACCGTCTGAATGAATGAGCTCCAACGGGCGATTCGAATGTATTAGTTGTCATCAATTTTGTTAAGGCCACGTAGAAATTTGTTTTTGCATAATTTTGGAAAAGAATGAACTTCGGCTGATTTCTCTTCAATTCTTAGAGTTTATCACTCCTTTCGGTTTCTCCTATTATTCTATTTCCTTTTTCTGTTTTTCAATTTTCTAATTTTCGTCACTTTCTTATGGATCAGGTGAGTCAGTGAAATTACATAAAAAAAAAAGTAAAAAGGCTAAATGTGTTTCATGGGCATGGATTATTTACTACAATTCAGAGTGAAAAAAAATATGAATCATTTAAAATTGAATAAAATAAAAAAAAAATATTAAAAAAATGATCCTTTAAGATCATATGAATTAGTAACAATTTTGAATCATAGATAAGTAAAATATTTCAGTGAAAAACAAATCACACATTGACAGGACAACAGGACAACATAACAACCTTCACCACACAAAATGAACATTTACCACACAATTTCCATAATTGCTCATCACCTTGACCTCTTTGCATATTCAAGTGATTGTCTTTTTTTGCCAAAATTGTTCTTTTCAATAATTATGCACTAGGCACTATTGATAGTTTTAAAATAATTTTCAAATTCTTGTATATTATCAGAATATATTGTCAGAATATTTCTTAGTTCTTTTTCATAATTTATTGTAGAGAAATACTTCATTTTGTGAGTGGGCAAGTTGAAATAGCAACATCCCCTGTAAATTCCAGTTTTTTTTAAAAACGCGTGATTAACCCTATTCAGTAACAAGTTAACAGAGTTTCTTTTGACATATTTAGAAATGTCTCAGACTTTCCTTCAACAACCACAGCGTCAAAAATTCAATGGAACTCACGGACAGAATCTCAACAGCAAAGGTCAGCCCGAACACTAAACTATTCTCATTCGACATAAAAAATATGTACTCAAACATACCAGTCAACGAAAGTATAAACATCATATCTGATAAACTAAAACAACAAAACATAGACAAAACCTACATTAACCAAATGGAACACAGTCTAAATACAATACTCAATCAAAATTATTTGGAATCTAAAGGAAAAATTTATAAACAAACAGATGGACTAGCGATGGGATCCCCACTATCTAGCATAATATCCGAAATATACCTGCAAACCATAGATGAGAAAATCTTAACAATAAAAACACATGATGAAAAAGGAGAATGGTTCAGATACGTTGACGATGGAATGTACATATCACAAAACAATGGAATAAGAATAGATCAAATAACAAAAAAAATAACGAAATAAATAAGAAACTATTTTTCAGCATTGAGGAAGAACACAACTCAAAACTTAATTACCTGGACAATAGCATTTACGTACGTAGTACAGCATTTACGTACGTAGGACACCAAACCAAAAAACTAACAGACGTCTTCAAACCACTGAACATCAACATCACATACAAGCCAAACATGAAGATAACACAAAAAATAAACAACTATGAAAAAGAAAATGACAAAGACCAAAACGGGATATACAGTATACAATGCTCGGACTGCAACAAATTCTATATCGGCCAAACCAAGAAAAAACTAATCCAAAGTTACAATGAGCACAAAAAGGCATACACAAATCCAATAGTATATAAATCAAACCTCGTAAAACACGCCATACAAAACAAACATAATTTCCCCCCACCAGAGAACCAAAACTTATAAAACAAGTCAATAAGGGAAAGCGCATGGACATTTGGGAAATCTTAAACATCCATAAATTTAACAGTCATAAATCACTTATCGAGGAACAAGTACAAATGAAAACACAAAAAGACCTAACATTCAATATATTAAACAAATCAATACACACTCTTAGAAACAGTAAACCTAGAGAAGATCCAAAGAAGATCCAACACAAAGAATAGTACCTGATGTAATCCAAATACAGGCAAATTTACCTAGAGTACCTGGAGTACCTACATTGAGGCGATCGGACCGTATAAAAGGACAAACAACAGGATGACACGTTCAGTTTGAGTAGAGCCTAGATGATGACAGTACGACCAGCTGTCGATAAGAAAGCCTATTATAACAAGTTTAAATGAATTCCAGGCATTTTTTCTTTCATTTCCATTTTAGTGACAAAGCTTTCATCTTTTAAAAGGTTTCTTATGTCAGGCCCAACGAAGACTCCTTCTTTTAGTTTAGCATCGGATAGACCAAGAAACTTTTCAAAAAGATACTCAAAACAATCTTCATTCTTTGTGGTGGAAGTAATATTTTTTTAGGTTCCACTAAACTTTGTTTTTCAACATTTTCAACTCCAGGAATAAGACCCTTTCTTATTGGCCACAACTGCTTGACATAGTCTTGTTTCCTGTCACGGCTATCCCATTCACATAGGAAACATGGAAACTTACTGTAACCACTTTGTTGACCTAGTAACATTGAAATAACTTTGAAGTCTCCACAAATGGTCCACTTATGATCAGAGTAGCTGAGCTTATTAAGAACAAATTCAAGATTTTGTAGCATTCTTTCAAATGGACTGAGTGTCCAACATGCACAGAAGCATATTGGTTCCCATTGTGAAGAAGTACAGCTAAATCGGTACCATGAAAATGAAACACCGGGGGCTAACATATGTATTTCTTCCAGTCTAGACCCTTAAACTTCTGCTGAGTCCTTTGGAAGGCCCAGATCTCCTACTAAATCGTTCAAGTCTGGAAAAGTTCAGGGTCATTGGTACCTGGATCGTAGATGTCATCACTGTCGCTACTGCTACTATGTGTTTTTGCGTCTAAATCGTCTAAAATGTTGTCCAAGGTATCCGGAGGCAAAGGAATAGGCAAGTTAGGTCCATGAGGAACAGGGCGAACAGCTGAACTTATGTAGGTTTAGGGAGGGGACAGACAGAGCGACACATACATGCCTTGTTCCAGTAGGAACTGGATTTTTCCAGTTTAAATTCGTTTTGTTATTGAAATGAATAGATTAAAACCGTATTTTATTTTAGATATACACTCACATTATGTAGTAACTTGTTCATCATAAAAGCTCCATAATTCAGATTCAATTTACCGCTTATATAGGCTATATAATACAGAAACATCGAACCCATACCGAACCTAAAAACCCATTTGATTAGAAAATTTCAGATGAAATTTGTGACTTATCTATAAGTGATAGAATTTTTTTACATTTTTTTCCGTAATCTGCACACAAAAAAAATACTGTTAAAATCACTAGTTAAGTATCCTACAATTTTTTGATTACAGACTTGTGTAATGTATTTTGCCACACTTTGTACACATGGACGCCATTTTTTTTTCTTGAATGATGTATTTTTTCTATACACGTCATATTTTTATCTTGAATGATTATTTTGAGACACCCTATACACATGGAGGGATCACAAGTTGAAACGTTACAGCTTCGTTAAACTGTCATAGTTTTTCATCAAATGATGTATGTTGACGCACCTTGATCACATTAAGGGATCGCACGTCAAAACGTTAGGTCCTCCTACTCATCGTCGTCATCTCTTTACCATACAATTTCTAATTGAGTCGTATTCCTAACCATTTTTGCTCAATTTTTAAACCAGCAACGCTTCATCGCCCCATAAACAATGATTTATTTTACAATCAACCACATCGAACCTGTGATGCTTGCGCTGGCAACTAACACGTGACCTTGGAATGTGCTCCGAACAATCTTTTTCCCTTATCAATGATGTTGCTATGTTGTGTTGGCGAAGAATTCTGATTTTGTCTGTGGTTTCTTCAAAAGATAAATAGATAAGTACTATTCTAGTCACTCCCATATTGATCCTAATTTAATACCCACCGGTAGACAGCTATTTCAGCCTATTGGGCATTGTCAGTACCGGGCTGGCGGTCCTCGATTGAAGACAAAATGTGAATAACCAAGAAAAGTACTTGATAAAAATAACTGCGTAAACGCAAGCGAGACATATGGTGAACCACCTATTGGTGTGACATCCAAGTCAATTTGCCAAGTTTTCATGTCAGTGTTGGTGGTTTGACCAATCAGCCGACAACTGTGGTAGCAGGAAATTGAGAAGTATCCTGGAATGAAATCCGAAAACGAATCCACAACCTTTATGTAAAATGAAAGTAACAAAAAAGTCAAAATTAAAAATAAGAGTGGCAATTACTTACTCTTAATAATACTCACCATGACATCAAATATTGTTGCTTTATGTAGTGGCCAGCTCTGAATCAGGTTAAGAAATGCTTGTTTGGCCTCGGATGGAGTCATTCCTCGCAGAGACTGATGATGCATGTGTACTCCTTCACAGGGTAAAACTGGAACGATACGAGCAGGTAAACAGTGAGCAGCTATTGGTCTATAATCATGTAAAATTTCTTCCAAGTCACCGAGCTCCAACTGAGCTTGAAGCGCAGTTAACATCATCTAAAATAATTTAAAATAATTACATTTAATAAAAACGCATCCTTAAAGACTCACAGCTTCCTTATCTGTAATTGGAAAGCGATCAGTTCTCAAATCATGAAGGACCTGATGATACAGCAGTTCTTTCTCTACTGGGTCATTCAAATTTATAAAATTGTCCATGAATAGATGTTTTTTGAAAAGAAAAAAGTGATGCTGAGGTCTGGTTCTTTTAGTTGTTCCAGCATTGTTTGCAGTAGTGACAGCAGAAGCCGCCCTGTATCTCTCCCACTTGGCCATTACATCTGCCAACTTTTCTTCAGCTGCCAAGCTACGTTCAGAATTGCCTAATACTTCATATATTGCATAACCTGAAAAAAAAAAAATGAGTATTTTGATGGAAAGGTTTTATTACAGAAACTCCCTAAACCTTATCCAAAACTGAAGTGTAAAGTGAGAGTAATTGAAAGTTGTCATTTTAAATGAAACTCATCTTTTTCCCAAGAATTTCAATATTCCTACGCGAAAATTGACTATATACGAAAAATTTAACCACATTCTTGCCAAACCCACGGCACTGGAAAAGGTGGTGTGTGAAAAAAAAGATATATGTACCAGTTAATATAGAATGTGAATACATAATGTGATACTTTTTATGGCTTTATTTGATGGAATCGGCCAATACTTGATGAAAATCCATAACGTATTAAAAAAAAAACACTTTATTTCAAGATTTTCACTGACAGTTTTACAAAAAGACAATACGTGTTTCGCTTCTTCAAAAGTGTCTTCACATCTATTTTGATAAGTAAAATTTGGAATCTCTGGTGTAAAATGAATTATTGAAAACATTTTTCCATTACCAGAACCAAAATTCTTCCTTTTTTTAAGGACAATCACAAGCACTACAGGAAAATACTTAAGGCGCTCTTAGGGTGGTGTCTGTGCGAAAGTAGTGATTTACATTGGATTTGAATCGCTGGAGATTAAATACATTTGGAAAAACGTTCTCAGGAAGTTTATTCCACATGAACGCCGTTCTCCAAATGACAGAGTTCTTGAACAGTGAAGTTTGAGGTGTACTGTCCTGAAATCCAAATGTGATGACGGCACAACTGTGCTGCGAACAATCTTCCAACAAGAAGAAAAAACCCCTCTCTTGTACGACAGGTTGAAAAGTCTGCAAAATACTGGTGCGAATTCATTTGCGCACTTTTTAAGTACGATGACGGGCACTTCAGCAGGACCAGACGCCCTGTTGATATTGAGCTGTTTCAGAATTCGCCTGACTAGATGCTGTCGAAAAGTAAAGTCTGGGTATAGTGGGTGGTGCTTTTCCCAGAAAATCGAAGTTGGGGCGCAAATTGTTCAGCTAGTAGATTTGTTTTTCTATGGATGCAGTTGCAATTGAATCATTCGCTTGTGTTAGTGGTGGAATTGTGGATTTTCTATAATTCTCATTAACAGCTTTAGCTTCCCACCAGAAGGATTGTGAAGTTGTTCATTTTCATTTATCCTAAGTTTACGGTTGTTGCGAGCATTAACAAACCTAGTTCAGTTTTCGTCACTGGGATTTTTGCGCCACTGCCTGTAGGCGAAATTTTTGGAGGCCTTTAGAAGATTGTTTCATTGAAAAAAGAATATATACATCCATGGATTTTCGTGACTTTAGAAGTACAAGTTGATGGATCTTTAGAGCTGTAACAAACATCTAGCAAAGGGGAAATTTCGTAAATGGTCTTATTTTAAACCAACTGAAGCACGAGTCAGCGTACGTTTTAACATTTATTAAATATGAAATATCTTAATACTACGTTCACAAACTATCTTAATCAAGAGCAGCGGATGTTTCATAAGCTTCCGATATACAGCGTCAAAAGTGTTTATCTGCAAAAATAAATAACATGTACTTCAACAATAACATCGGTACTTTCTACTACGAATAACAAATACGTCAGTTTACTTAATTTTGACAGTACAGAATTTGAACCAATGTATAATCTTCATTTTCTAATAAACTTTTACAAAGATCACTTGTACTTTAACAGGAGAAACAATTTTGATGGGTTTACCGATCATTCACAAATACTCAATATGCCTGTTAAATTTTAAAATATTCTAGTTAATATAATACAAACAACACCTAGATATTTCAACATCAGTATACAAATATAAAATTATATAAAATGAAACATGGCTTCATAAACCTTACACTATTAAAGTTTACATGAACTGTCAGTTTCAAACACCTTATTAACTACTGACAACCTGCACTTGCTCGAAGGCAAATTATGACATACATTTCAATAATACGTAAAACACAATCAACACAGACATACATATTAAACAACCCTATAAACCATAGCTAAATTCATTGTAAATACATAACACATTAGTAACATGGACAAAAATAATCAACAACTACATAAGGCATAGTCATACTACCCCACTCCATCCACCCCCGTTCTCCGAGCGGTCCTCAACTTACTGATGGGCACTTCAGCAAGATTGACATCTGACCTCTTTTAGTCGAAAGTCAGCCTTTAGGTGCTATTCTTTCGCGATCGGTAATAATGTTTTGTCATGACTATTCCTAACTGAATTTTTGCATGGGGGCCCCCAAAAACTAACCGGCGGCTATTGTTATTAGCGTCGAGCGTTCCTCAGTGAATCTAAGGATAATTGAATCGTGGTCGAGTTGTTCTGCGGTGAACTTGCTAAAAGAAAGTCTGATTAATATGCTTACCGGAGTCGTCTGACGGCGACTCGTGGGGGTGGTCGTAGATTCAGTTTCGTCGGCCTTGGGTGTTTGTCCCTTTCTTGGAACCTGGGGTCATCCATGTTCAACGCATCGTGTAGATCGGGTAGCGCTGGGTTGTTGTGCGATCTGATTCTATCGAACACGCTTTCTACGTGTTCTCTCATATACACGTCCACATATTGCGTGTCCAGGTCTTAGTCTCTGTATATAAATCTGTTGGGAATGTAGTACGGTGCATTCACGGCGGCCCTTACGCACGCGTTCATGAACGACTGTATCCTCTTCCTGTATGTCTGTGCGCACTGGCCCCAGGTAGTGCATGCGTCTAAGGTGTCTAAGGTGACCCCCAGGTATGTCGCTTTGTCGGTTCACGGAATTTCTTGTCTGTTGAAGGTGACGTTGCCTCACGGTTGTACAAACCTGCAAGTGAACAGTATCGCTTGACTCTTGTCAGGGTTTATACTGATCTTCCATAGGTTGGCCCACTCCTCTAATCTGTTCGCCTGTTGTTGCAAGTACCTTGTGACATGTACTTGGCTCGTGGATCTCGCCAGCAGGGCCGTGTCGTCCGCGTAGAGCGCCAACTTGTTAAAGTTATTCTCTGGTTTGGGCACGTCCGCTATATATACGGAGAAGAGGTGTGGCGAAAGGACTGCTCCTTGCGGGACTCCTGCTTCTAGTAGTCGAACTGTTGATAATTTGTCTCCTACTCTGCAACGGCATCGCCTGTTAGCTAGAAAAGACTGAATTAATCTCACCATTGGTTTTGAATATCTGCAATCGCTCATGCTAAACTCTGTCTAACGCCTTGGAGACGTCTAAGAAGATAGCTCCGGTGTTATGCCCTTTTCTGTCGAGGTTGAAGCCCTCGGTAGCGAAGTCTACTACCCTCAGGACTTGTAGCTCTGTCGAATGTTCCGATCTAAAGCCGAATTGCTCATACGGGAGGATTCCTAGTTATCTGGTTTGGTCTTCGAGTCTCTTCAAGATGACACGTTCCGCCACTTTGCTTATGGCCTGTGATTGTCTGGGAACAGGTGGTTCTTCTTGGGCTTCGGGATGTGGATAACCGTTGCCTCTTTGAACGGTTTCGGGAAATGCTGCAATCTGAGTATAGCGTTTATGATGTTAGTTATGGCTGCTATACCCTTACGCGGTAGTACTTTCAGTGCCCGATTTGTTATGTTGTCCGGGCCTGGTGCTTTCCGAGTGGATAGACGTCTTAGTATGTCTTTCATTTCCTCGGGATATGTCGAGGCCAGGGGTTGCGCGTTGTCCGTTCGTTGTCTCAGTCTTCGTACCGTTCTTTCCACCTGTCTCTCTATTTCGTCTACCTCGTCCGTGAACGGGACGTCATTCTCTCTGCACTGCCTTTCGAAGTTGTCTGCGAATGCCTCCGCCTTCTCATGGTAAGTGTAGACGATTCCTTGCTCGCCGTGTATTGGCGGACATGGCTGTCGAGGTCCGTTCTTGAGTACTTTCTGCATTCTCCATGTAGACTGGTCTTCAGTGTTTAGGTCTTCCAGACGGGTAGTCCATTGTCTTTCTCGGATAGCTTTCAATTCTTCTTTCAGTATCCTGTTGGCTCTCTGCATGCACCTTTTGTCCATAGGTGCACGTGTCCTTTCGTACTGTCTTTTCAGGCGTCTTCTTATTCTTGTCAGTTCCATCGTTTCTGGTGGAAGGTGCTCTTGGAAGTTATAGCGCAGGACTGGGACTTCTCGTGCGCTTCTTTCCATCGTTTGGGTGATCGCCTGTTGCAGCTGTTGTGGAGCGTTCTCCAGATCCGTTTTTGTTTCGATGCGTGGTATGTCACCCATCGCACCGTGTATGGCTCGTTGAAATCTCATCCAGTATATGACCCGCTTTGTTGGGTTGTCTGTTTCCACTTCACCTCTTCCTATCGTGAATAGGATGGGGTTGTGGTCTGACGAACCTTCTTCTAGTGTTTTCATCTCCGTAGTTTCGATGTTCTGCACTAGTGCGATGTCGAGAATGTCTGAGATTTGGTCTTCTCGCGGGTAGTGTGTTGAGGTGTTCGGTGCTACTACCGCGATGTCCTCGAATTCTTCTAGAATTCTGACTATATATGTGCCTCTCGTGTTTCCATTCCTGCAGTTCTTAGTGCGTAGATTTTCTCTTGGTTTTTCGGTACTTTGACCAAGAACAGCGGCAGTATTTGTCTGGTTTTTCTAGATGTCATCCTGTGACACTCCAGAACCTCGAATCCTTGTTTTTTTCAGGTCCTCCGCCACGTCTGCTTCCTCCACGTTCTCCGGTATCCCCCGGACGACCGCGTGGAGCGAAACTTCTTTTTCTTTTTTCAACGTATATGTGTGGAATTCCAGGCGGAATTCTTCCATGAATCTGGTGCATTTTTTCCATTCCAATTCATTATTGGTACTGATGTATATACCGTCTCTTGTTAGGCGCGCCCTGTTATATTGGATTCGCCTCTTTTCTAATTTCTTTGATTCCCTCGTTCCACCTCTTTGTGTCATGCATGACTATTGGAGGTGGTTTTGTTGGGTCTTCGCTTGCGTTTGGCGTCGTATTTTCCTTTGGCGAGCTGATGTGGTTGGCAGTACTGTTTCATCTCCGCTTTG